GTCAGTCTCATCCTCATACCTAGAATGTTATAAGGGCTAAATGGAGAAATGAGGGAATAAATAGATACAAGCCATGGGAAATGAAAGTTGTTAGTAAGCATTGTACAGAGGGCACAGGAACCCCTACCCTAGACTGAGAGAGGGGCCTGGGATCTCAACGCTGAACTACCCTGGCTGCTCCAAGGCACCATGGGGTCCAGATCCCAGGGCTTACAGGGCCTGGAGCAGCCTCTCTTCCTCAGACCCTGGGCAAGGCTATTTAGGGGCAGCCCTCTCATTCTCTGAGCTAGTTTTGCAGAACATGGTGGGGGTGAGGGTAGTTACCCATGGGAGCAGTGACATGAGCTGCACTCTAGGCCCAGTGGGGACTCTGGCCTGAGAGCCTTTCACCCAGACCCCAGGGAGGACACTGAGAAGCTGGGCCCCATCTGGGGACCTCTGTGGCTCCATCAGGAATCCCGGAGAAGCTCAGAGGGCAGGCCAAGAGCAGGTGTTTCTGCCAAAGCTACCACAGGAGCCTTCCCGAGTTGGGAATAGAAGGTGGTCATCTTGGCTCTATGGTCAGAAGGCTGGGAGAGGTGGTGGGTGGTGAATCCACTTCATTCTCCCTGGGACTCAACTCTTTATCAGGTGTGGGGCGGCCATTCAAATGAGGGCGGATTTATCAGGCCTGCTGGGTTGACCTTCCCAGGGTTGACCTATGTGCCACGCCCATGCCAGTCTCACACTGATGCTTCCCAGGGCTGTGGCTATGAGGAAACAGCCCCTTTGCAATGGCACCTGGCTAATCTCCATGCCAGTGATTGTTTGTGAATGAGGCCATGTCAGCACAACAGATGCTGGAATGAAAGAGATAATGGAAAGGGGGACACAGTAGCATATCCTTTATTCTCATCCTTTCTTTCATTTCATCTTTACAGCAATCCCATGAATTGGCGCAGCTGTGCCCATTTTACACATGGAAAGACTGAGGTCTGGACAGGGTCAAAGACCTGCCCAGCGGGAGAGCTGGGACCTGTGGTTCCAATGTGCTTTCCAAGACTGGGGCTAGTCCTTTGCCAAGGGTCAAGCATTCAGCTCCAGGAATCTGGGGGGAGAAGCGAGGCTTTCTCCCAGATCCCAAAGCCTAGGGGATGAAGGAATCAAGCCTGCGATATTCCTGGGGTGTCTTGGCGCCTCAGAGCCTGGTCAGGCTCTGGAGGGAGGAGGGCAGCGGGTGGCCCACACAGGTGGAGAGACATGGCGCTGTTCTGTGACTCCTGGCATTTCAGCCACTTCCTCCTCACCCTGAGCAGCAGGCACCTCCCTCTCTTCCAGGCTCCACCCTGGGGAATGAGCCAGGTTGCTGCCCTCCTCAATGCGGTGGCTGTCCTGCCCGGGCCCTGCAGGGGGCAGGCTCACCCCAGAAAGCAGGTCAGTGCCTCGATGGCCACGTGCTGGGACACAGGGTGGAGGGGCTGGACCCTAGACCCAGTCCTGGCCGGGCCTGGTCTCAACATGGGGCCCCAGCTGGGCCCTTGACAAGCAGGCTGTGGCTGCAGGCATGTTCTAGGCCTGAGACCCCCTTGGTGCCTATTCCCCCTCTGTGTTGGGTGATAGCTTTGAGGATCCATAGTAGATCCTGAGTCCCAGCCAAAGGAAGCCCTAGGGGAGGATTAGGAAGTGAAGTCATAGCAGGCGGTACAGGGCGATGGGTGTGATGGACTTTTCCAGCGTTTTTTTTTTTTTTTTTTGACGGAGTTTTGCTCTGTCACCCAGGCTGGAGTGCAGTGGCATGATCTCTGCTCACTGCAACCTCTGCCCCCTGGATTCAAGCAATTCTCCTGCCTCAGCCTCCCAAGTAGCTGGGATTACAGACGTGCGCCACCATGCTCAGCTAATTTTTGTATTTTTACTAGAGACAGGGTTTCACCATGTTGGCCAGACTGGTCTCGAACTCCTGACTTCAGATGATCCACCTGCCTCAGCCTCTCAGACTGCTGGGATTACAGACGTGAGCCACTGCGCCTGGCCACTTCCAGCTTTTCTTAGTCAGCTGTGGGGGCCCTTCCTTCCTCCCTGCCTGGGTCAGGGCATCTGAGGGGCTGCCCAGGGACCTGCCCTCTTTTGGATGGTGTCCCTGGGACTATTGGTGGCTGGAGCGGAGCAGAATATGTGGTTTGTGTCCCTTTGAGCAGCTCCTCTGGGGGCTCCAAAAGAGCTGGACACACTTCACACCCTCCATCCTCTTGCAGAGTTTGAGAGAAAATAAGCAGGTGGCAGGTGTTGCTGAGACTTGCACAGGTACCTGTTGGGGGTGGGTATTTGGGGGACTTGGCCAAGAACTGGTATCCCTTTTTATGAACAGTCATAATGACTGTGGCTTCTTTCATCCAAGGATCTCAGACCAGTTTGCAAGTAAAATCCACAATGCCAGGCATGGTAAATTACAGTCCGGAGCCCACAGTCTGGTTTGTAGACACGCTTTTGTTAGGAAGAGAGTCAAATCAATTGCATGCTGGTCCCTGTAAATGCAGACTACAAGTCCAATCAAACAGGGTGTTTGGAAAATTCACTTTATGGTTCAGCTAAGTGATACTTGAATCAAGGGGACGCTAGACACTGAGGTACCAGCTCTTTTCTCCCAGTGGGCCTGGCCATGCATCTCCCACAATCACAGCTTCTCCAAGCACACCAGGGAGAGAAAGGATGCTCCGAAATGCTCCAACCATAAAAGTGGGGTGGGGGAGTTAGGGACTCAGTGGGTCTGAGCAGGAGATTGTGGACTCTTCCAGATGGGAGCTGGCAGCCAGTGCAGCTGTGCAGGGAGAGCTGGCCCGAGGGGAGAGGGCGGTGGGCCCTGAGATGTGGAAGGCTGAGCTTGGCCACAAGAGGACCAGAGAGGTACGGCTTAAGGCTGGGGTGAGGGTGGCTCTCTGGGTATCTACCATGGCAAAAGCAGCTTGGAACAGAACCTTGAAATCCTGGGCAAGTGCAAAAACCACACCCCAGGGGGAGAGAAAATACTTCTGTATTTTGCGGGAGAAGAGATTTCTAGAGTAACTCTGGGCCTTGTCAAGTAGGACTTTGAAGGCCTGATGAAGGTCAAGGCCTGATGGGGGCTTAGGACCAGGCCAGGAACAGTAGGTTGGGAAGCTGGACCCATGCTTCTTGTAGGGCCCTAGTGTCTCAGGAGGAGCCACCGCTCAGGAACAGGACCAACGCTGTGGAGGGGCAGCCAGGCAGTGGAGGGGACCTCCTTCACCACTGAGTGCATGTTCAGATCATCTTGAGCGTGGTGAGGCTGGGTGATAGCAGTGGGCAGGCAGACATTTGGGGCACAGGCTTTGGGGTGGGAAATGGAGCAGAGAGAGACTTGCCAAATCTTGTCCAGGAAGGTCTGAGTCATCCTGCTGAAGGCAGCTGCCATGAGTGTGGAATGTCACTGAGGTGGCCAGGATGGGAGGCAGGATAATTCAGCCTCTGCACCTCCAAGTACTGTTTGGACTTGGGAGGGCAAGAATGACAGCCACTGAGAGCAGGGTGTGACAGGACAGGAAGGCACGGTTCTCCAAGGGAAGCCCTCTATGCCTGACCCTGAAAACAGCCAGCCATGGTGACAGACCACAAGGGAAGGAGGGAAGGAACAGCTGCATTTGTTTGGCCAAGCCTCTCAACCAGCGATGTTTCCTTACTGAAGGTTTCAGACACAGGATACCCAGTTAGATCAGAATTGAAGGTAAACAACAACAACAACAACAACACCACCACCACACACACACACAAACTCTCTAAGTGTGCTCCTAATACCACATTTAAAAAATTTGCTAAATCTGGCAACGCTCTCTTTATCAGGTCTGTGAACGGCCCTTAGTTTTCTACCATCAAAACTGAATAAACAAGACTTTTCCTGGAGTTTTTGGAAAAATTACATTGCTGGCTAGAAAGGTCTTAATGTAGGGTTTCCCCCTTCTGTAAGGCTTTCTTCAACTTTGTGTACCTGTTGTTGCATGTCTGCACTAGAATCTAACCTAAGCTGACAGTGTATTTGGCACGAGCTGTTGATGGGGTTATTTGACACAGAATATATAGAACCCTGCGTCTCAGGGCAGGGGACAGGGCTCCCAGGTGCTTTGTCACTTGAATGTATTCTTTGTTCCAAGGAAAATTCAGTTGTGTGGAGGAAATGAGGATGAGTTGTGGGTCTCCCAGGGTCCTGGGTGACCGCTGGGTGCTGGGTGGATCTGAAGAGGTTAAAACATGGAATGAACACTTCTTAGGTGCCTCTTCTGGTGGGAAATTCTGTAGGATCTGGGTGTATGGACCTTAAGGGTGGAAGAGGCAGTAGGAGGAAACCAGAAAGATGGAGCTGGAACCAGCAGGCTGCTCTAACAGACAACCATCGGCCTTCTGCAGAGATCTTATTCTTGTCGGTACCCATTTCTGGTTGGTCTGGCTGCCCCAGAGGCTGCTGTCTGGTTTGTTTCCTTCACTATCTTTGGGGCCTTTGGGTGGTGGTGACCAGCATGTTCTGACCAAAGCCCAGAGAAGCATAAAGGAGATACTCTGCTTGAAGAACTCACTCCCTCCTTGGGCACACTGTGACAGTAATGCCTTGTGCACAGAAGGGACTGTTCAGAGCTGGGCAGAAGGAGACTTGGGCTTGATATTTCGGGTCTTTGCCCATGGAGAACCTTGGTTTTCAGATTGAAGTTCATTTCAGGGTGCAGACTTCTTTCTGTCAAAGAAGGGGCCAGAAACTCAGGGGTTGATGTTGAACTTGGTGGCCTTTCAAGATGGGCTTGGGGAAAGACCAGGACGCTTTCCATTCCTATGGCAGCATTCCCCTTCTTCCCCTGCCCGCAAGCTGGGATCATGGTGGACAGGGCGTCCTGTCAGCACTGCAGCCTGCAGGTGGGGTGAGAGTTTTTGGAAGCTTCTAGAGTAAGGGTCAGAGGCCAGATGGAGACTCCTAGCTGAGGGGACTGCTGCAGCTTTGGACACAATCCCAGACCATGCTCTTTGAGCAGCTGTCTTTTCTCAGACAGCTGGGTTAGGCCTCTGAATTAGTATTCCATTAAACCAGGGCAAGTGGTTTGTGCCCTGGAAACAGCACTGGACTGGAGTTCTGACTATATGGGTACTAAGAGCAGTTTCAGTCTCTTAAATCTGTGAAATGACTTCCTGTTTATCAAGCCCCTTTGGATGTAGTTCTCACAATCCCGTGATTGTGGTGTTATGACCTCCACAGACCTATTGTGAAAGCTGAGGCTTAGAGGGATGGAGCAGCTTGAACTTAGTTCTCGCTGAGTCCAGGCTCAGGGCCCTTCTCCTGTGTGCGGAGGGGGTTGGCTGTGCAGTCAACAATAAGGAAAAAGGCAGGACACTGAGGGCAGCTGAAAGACTTTCTCCTTTGACGAGCTGGTCCCCTGCTCCAGGGAAGGTATATTCCTCTCCCCACAACCCTAGAGGCACCTCTCTGGTCCACAGTGGCCCTCTTGACGCTCAGGTGAGAATGATGGGGACATCTGGACATTCAGATCAGTAGACTCCTTGCTTATTCAGTTGTCCTGTGAGAAACCTAGAATCAGCTTCAGATATGGATCACACAGTACAGGGGTTAAAACAAAAAAGAAAATGAGAATATTAACTTCAGATGCCTACCAGCCAGAGATCCCAAACAGAGAAGAACTGTGCAAAGGGCTTGGTGAGGGCTGCCCTCGGGCCCATTTTGCAGGACAAGGACGCTGTGTCACAAACAAGGTAAACAGAGGCATGGGTGTATTGAGGACTTGCTTGAGTGGGCCCAACAGAGACAGCCAGACTCCACACTAGTCGTCCCAGAAAATGAAGTGGGGGGTGCTTAGGGGAGGTTGGGTCAGAGCCCCAGTCTTGGTCCTGAGAGTCCAGTGGTTCTCATCTGGGGGTGGTGGTGTCCGCTGACCCCCAACCTGGGGGATGTTTGGCAATGTCTGCAGACAGTTTTGGTTGTCAACGCTAGGGCGGGGGTGGCTACCAGCATCGGGTGGTAGAGTCAAGGGACACTGTCAAATATTTTACAATGCACAGGAGAGCCCCAAACAATAAAGAATGACATGGTGCAAAGGGCTGAGTTAGGGAAACCCCATGGCAATCCAGTCCTAGGCCTTGCCAGGAGAACTGGGGAGATTGGGTGGCTGTGGGGAAGCCATGGCTGGGGCAGCGGGCGCTCTGGAGGGCTGATGCTCTGCTCTTGCTCCCAGAGGGGCTGCACAGGGGCCCACTGCCAGCTGCTCCTGGACATCTTGTCAAGGTGTCCACCTTGCTGGGAGAGGCGTGTTCACCACAGCCAATCCTCCCTGGATAATTTCAGAGAGAAGCTTATAAAATATTTTAAGAGGCTGGCAAATTACAACCTTAGAAGCACATAAATGCTTCCATAAACGCCAGCTTTGCAAACCAAGCATGTGTGGGGGCAGAGTAAGCAGGTTGCCCAAGCCTTGGGAAAGTCCACGTTTCAAGGCGGAAGACCCAGGTTTATCTTTGGTCCCTAATTCTCAGGTTCTTCTCTCTCGGCTTGCTTAACTATCTGGCAGTATTTAGCTTTTTTCTTTGTATTCCTCCTTTGTCCAAAGAATCTGCCATTGGCCATTTCTGTGACCTGTTAAGGGACCAGGAGGGTCAGAGCAGGTTGTTCTAGGGTACTGATTTTACCCATGAGGTTCAAAAAGCTGATGGCCACAGAGGACACTGCCCTCCAGCTCTGCCCAGTGATCCAAGCTCGCAGATTCCATAATAGCCGGAGTCTGTGATGATGTGTTCATTGACTGAGGGACTGGCTATGAGGCACGCTGCCCTGCTGTGCCCGGTGGGCAGACAGACCATTCTCAGCAGTGCCATGTGAGTGCTCACACTTATGAACCTTTGCTGGTCACAGCCATAAACCATCATCAAAGACTGTCAACCTAACCTAACCTAACCTAACCTAACCTAACCTAACCTAACCAACCAACACTTCTGCAGGACCCAGTGGATTGCAAAACACTTTCACTTCTTGTTCGATCCTCATATCTGTGTGAAGCAGGTGGGACAGAATGACGATCTCTACTGTTCCGATGAAAACACTGAGGTTCCCAGGGAGGAAGTGGTCCCCTGTAGCACAGGGCAAATTAGTAGCAGAGCCAGGATTTGAACTAGGTCTCCTGTCCCTAAATTCTGGGTACCCAGACTTGACCCCAGTTGTGTGGGGAAGCAGTGGGGCAAGGAAGTAGGATTTGGTGTCAGAGAGACCTGGTTTCAGAACCACGCTCTGCCAGTCACTTCCTGTTCACCCTGAGCAAGCTATTAAACCATTCAGAGCCCCAGTTTCCACACTGGTAAAAATGAAGATAAAATCAGCCACCTCCTAGGATTGTTACGAGGTGTAATGAAGTAACAATGAGCCTGGTACATCACAGGTGCTCCCTGAATTTTTAGTTCCTTTGCTCTCTTTTACCATCCCAGCAGCCCAGGCAGGGGTGAGCAGCTATGAGGGCTGGCGGCAGTGGATGGGGGTGACAAGGGACAGACGAGGCTCCCCAGGGGAAGGGAGATGGAGAGAGCAGGAACCAAATGTCATTCGTGCAGCCACTCCCAATTTATGGGATCTGGTGCAGAGACTCTTTGAAGAGGCAATAAAACTCATATTCTGCTAGGAAATGACAACAGTGGAGTGTCCTGACTTAGCAAACCAAATTCAACAATTCGATTTTTTTTTTTACAAGGCATGGGGTTCTGGATGGGTAGCAAAAATGACACTGTAATGAGATTAGCTTTCTGGGATAGGAATAGGCTTTCCCAAGAGCAAGAGATGTGTACCATGCCAACACCCCATGGAGAGTGTATATAAATGTTCCACAGAGGCCTTGAGAGTCCAGAACCCGAGCTCCTTGCTAAGCTGCAACCTTCCTCTGCTAGCACCATGGCCACCCAGACCTGCACCCCGACCTTCTCCACTGGGTCTGTCAAGGGCCTCTGTGGCACAGCAGGCGGCATCTCTCGGGTGTCCTCCATCCGCTCTGTGGGCTCCTGCAGGGTCCCCAGTCTCGCCGGTGCCGCGGGGTACATCTCTTCTGCTAGGTCGGGCCTCTCTGGCCTTGGGAGTTGCTTGCCTGGCTCCTACCTGTCTTCTGGGTGCCACTCCTCTGGCTTTGTGGGGAGCGGGGGCTGGTTCTGCGAGGGCTCCTTCAATGGCAGCGAGAAGGAGACCATGCAGTTCCTGAATGACCGCCTGGCCAACTACCTGGAGAAGGTGCGTCAGCTGGAGCGGGACAACGCGGAGCTGGAGAGCCGCATCCGGGAGTGGTATGAGTCTCAGATCCCATACATCTGCCCAGACTACCAGTCCTACTTCAAGACCATCGAAGATTTCCAGCAGAAGGTGAGGGAGACCTGGCCCCTCTCCAGCTGAGCAGCCCAACTCTTAGGAGGTGTCTGTCTCATTCCAGGGCCTTTCCAGATGGGACAGTAGCTTTTAGGGAATTCTCCTGGTAGAGCAAATTTTCTCTCTAGGGCTTTGGTTTACTGGGAGACTCAGGCTTCTCTGTTGGTCTCTTGCTTGTACCTTGTTGCCAGCCATTCCTCACCCCTGTTCCCTTGCTGTAGGAAGGGAAGGAAGATGTACCAAGCCCCTACTGGATACAGCACTGTGCCCGATACTTTCCTATTCCCTGACTTATTTATTCTTCATCTTGGAGAGATTGGTATTACTGGACCCCATCTAACAGATGTGGAAGTTGAATTTTGAGGGGTTCAGCAACTTGCTCAAGATCACACAGCCTGAGTGTTAGATGCAGAATCTGAACTCAGGTCTGCCTCACCCTGGTGTATCTCACTGTGCCACTCTGAAGGCTACAGGTGCCAGGACCGATGGCCACTGACATCCTTGGGATGCCCCTGTGGGGTGGATGCTCCCCTAACACCTGGGGTGTGGCTCAGGGCTGGAAATGCTGAAGGTGCTGGTGGTACATAGTAGCATGGCGTCTGTGTGCTGAGCTATCCCCCTACCTGCCCCCACACTGCTGGGCCTCCTGTAGCTCATGGGAAACCTCTCATTCCTCAGATCCTGCTGACTAAGTCTGAGAATGCCAGGCTGGTCCTGCAGATTGATAATGCCAAGCTGGCCGCTGACGACTTCCGGACCAAGTGAGTGGGCCAGATCAGGGAAGGTTTGCCATGCCACTTCCTTGCCTCTATCCCCTGCCTTTGGGAGCTAGTGAAGCGAGAATAAGGTTGGATGGGAAAATACGGCATGAGCCCTGGACCTCAGGGAAAAGGACCATCATGCTCCTGAACCGTCAGTCACTGCAGCTGGACAGTAGGGCAGGGGGCCCTGCTGGTGTGTGGTTTCCTTTGCTACAGACTTGGCAGGGTTCTGTGTGTGCAGGTACGAGACAGAGCTGTCCCTGCGGCAGCTGGTGGAGGCCGACATCAACGGCCTGCGTAGGATCCTGGATGAGCTGACGCTGTGCAAGGCTGACCTGGAGGCTCAGGTGGAGTCCCTGAAGGAGGAGCTGATGTGCCTCAAGAAGAACCACGAGGAGGTGAGGCTGGTGCCACGTGACCTCCCATTGTTTCCCATCCAGCTTAGGGAGCCACTGCTGGGCCTTGGGCTTACTGTGTGGCAGGAACTATACAAAACCCTTGCATTTCATTCTCATTTCATTTCATCCTTACAATAATCCCAAGAATTATAAACTGTTACAAGCTCCAGTTTACAGATGAGAAAACTTAGGCACAAAGAGGTTAAGTTGCTTGCCTAAGGTCATAGAGGGTCTACACTTTTGCCCATAATACTAAATTTCTATTTGGGCTCTAGTGCCTGATAACAGCAATTTAATTTGCCTAGGGTTTGTATCATCTCACAAATATCCCACAGAAGGAGGGAAGTAAATACGGACAGGGAGACCACGGATCAGAGAGATTTAAGTATCCTGTCTAATGCTATGCGGCTGGTGACTGAGGGAAGAGGGTTTGAATTTAGGTCGGTGAAACCTGCAATCCAGCATCCTTTTCGCAACCTCATGCTGTCTTACCTCCTCCCTGCAGGAAGTCAATGTGCTCCGTTGTCAACTTGGGGATCGACTAAATGTGGAGGTGGACGCTGCTCCCCCAGTGGATCTCAACAAGATCCTGGAGGATATGAGATGCCAGTACGAGGCACTGGTGGAGAATAACCGCAGAGATGTGGAGGCCTGGTTCAACACCCAGGTGGGGCCGGGGTGCCCTGGGACCACAGGCTCCTGGGCTGGGGTTACCTTTGGAAGTAGCTTGGTTTGACCATGCTCTGGGCCCTCGCATGTGTTTCAGACCGAGGAGCTGAACCAGCAGGTGGTGTCCAGCTCGGAACAGCTGCAGTGCTGCCAGACGGAGATCATCGAGCTGAGACGCACGGTCAACACCCTAGAGATTGAGCTGCAGGCCCAGCACAGCATGGTGAGTGGCCCCTGCCTGCGTGGCTGGCCACGGCCTGCCGCAGGTCCCCGACGCATCAGCCTCAGCTTGCAGGCTCTCTTGGGGTGTGATCACAGGCAACAGGCAGATGCCCAGGACTGTGGGTTTCTGGGGTACGGGATTCCTCCCCATGGGCAGCTCTTCCTCTTTCCCATTGCAGAGGAATTCCTTGGAATCCACTCTGGCGGAAACTGAGGCCCGCTACAGCTCCCAGCTGGCCCAGATGCAGTGCCTGATCAGCAACGTGGAGGCCCAGCTGTCTGAGATCCGCTGCGACCTGGAGCGGCAGAACCAGGAGTACCAGGTGCTACTGGACGTCAAGGCCCGGCTGGAGGGCGAGATCGCTACCTACCGCCGCCTACTGGAGGGAGAGGACTGCAAGTGAGTGGGCTGGGGGAGGGCTTGACTGAACCTCAGTGCCATGTGGAGGGCGTCAAACCCAGAAGTGGTTGTCACCCAGATGAAGGGGACTAAACCAAAGCCCCTTGAGATTCTCCATCTAGTCCCAGGCATTGGTCATGTGCAGGGGGAGAATCCAATCCAACACACACCGCATGTTTTCCGCCATCTTTTCTGATTGGCAGTTTCTGCTCTTAATTCCTGCAGCTTGGTCTTCTCACCCTTGGGAAATTCAGGGCACTGAGATGGTCTGAGGCCACCTGTCTCGCTTGATCCTCTAGATCTGTTTAACACAAATCTCAGCCCAGTACTCGGATGCCAAATGCACCGTGCATGATTTTGTTTCCTCAGGCTTCCTTCCCCACCTTGTGCCATGGCATGCAAGCCTGCTATTAGAGTTCCTTCTGTCCCCCCGGTGCCCTGTGCCCCTGCTGTGCCCTGCACCTCGGCTCCCCAGGTTGGCACTCAGATCCGCACGATCACCGAGGAGATCAGAGATGGGAAAGTCATCTCCTCCAGGGAGCACGTGCAGTCCCGCCCGCTGTGACAGTCCACTTCGTCCACCAGGGCAGGGCCCCGACCACGGAAGGAGGACACCCCTGTGGCTTCTGGCTGCTTAATGACCCTGCCCTTCCCTAGAGGGGTCCCCCTACGCTTAGCAGGTTATTCTACTAAAAATACTCCCCGTATTGTGTTTCTGGACTTAACTGTGCTTTTACGCCATGCAAAACCAGGTTTCCTGGAAATTTACCCAATAAAGTGTGTTCTCCTGGCATAGCAAACTCAACCCTGGCTGACTCTGTTGATGCTCATGTGCTCGTATGGTTCATGGGGGTGTTTGATCAGGGGCTGCAGTATAGTTGTGGGGTTTGCATTTAGGTCTATCTTCTCGGGCTCTGAGTGGAAGGCGGTGGCAGGGTGATTTCAAGTATTTAATAACAAAGAAGCCTAAGGACCTGGCCAATGAGAACAGACACTGACCTAGTCTGGATGGGTGCTGGCCATAGCTCTCAGCTTGGCCCTACCAGTGAATAGACATCTACTCACGGTGCCTACCCCAGAAGACGCAAAGGCTCCCGAGCCAGTCCTCCTTTGTAGCCCGACCTGGATTCGGTGGCTATCTCTCTTTTACTTTCAACTTCCCCTCTCTTGTCCAGCTCCTGTCATCCTGCTCCCTGATACTGGGGATGGTTCAGGAGAGGAGGTCCCAGGAACAAGCAGAGAGGGCTAAACTCTAGGCACTCAGCCTGAGCCAGCCACGCCGGGGCAGGCAGTCAGGGAGAGCAGGGAGGTGGAGGTGAAGGTGGAGGGCAGGTGAATCCATGTACCAACAAGGCACACAGGGCTGAACTGAAGGGTGTCGGGGATAGTGGGGTGGGAGTGGGAGCTCAGACATGGAGTGAGGGGAGAGGACAGCCAGACTTCACTGTGGAGCAGAGGTCAAAGCCCTGGATTTCACTGGCAGACCCGAGTCAGGCAGGTCTGTGGTGGGGCCTGACTTTGCCAGACCTGGACATCCCTCTGATCAGAGAAGCATGGCCTGGGAGAGGTCTGAGGGCCTTACGGTTGGTTCCTTTGCTCCCTGCTCCAGTCTTCACTTGAGAAAATAGGCCCAGAGAGGGCAGTGACTTGTCCCAGGCCACAGAGCAGTGAGTGGCAGAGACCTGCCTATCACCCGGCTATTCTGACCCTGACTCTGAAGCTCTTCTCAGCAGTTTCTCTCTCTCTCTGTCTCTCTCTCTGTCTCTCTCTCTGTTTCTCTCTCTGTCTCTCTCTCTCTCTTCCTCCCTCCCCCTCTCTTGCACTCACTCTCCTCTGGGCTCTCCTCTGGGTCATGGTCAAGACCTCCACGACCTGGCTCTGCCTCATGTCATCTGCTATTTGCTGCTAAATGGGACTCTTCAGTCACTTGCTGAGCAAGCCAGAGGTGCAGCAAACACATATCAGACCCCGGGAGAAGACATGCACAGGTAGCATCAGAGCATCCTGCACTGAGCTCGACTCTGCCGCTCTGTGGTACATGCCCGGTTATATCATGAGACCTATCTGGTCTCAGCAGGTTCATCTGTGAAATGGGGTGGCCGGGAAGCTCCAATGAGACAGTGTGTGTGTAGCTTCCAAAAAGTGGTAGCTGTCAGTGTTGCTCTTACTACAAATGCAGAGCCCCTGGCCTCAGGGTGTCAAACAGGAACCCCCACTGCGAGGGCCAAGCTCTTTGCTTTGTATCTGTCAGGATGCTACAGTGGGGGCTCTGCTGCCAGCAGTGTCCTTGGAGCTGGACAGTGAACCCAAAGGCCTCAGCCTCAGAGGATGCACCTGGCTTCTTTGGGCAGGGGGGCAGTCGGCACGGTTCTGTCATCTGCCCTGCCCCTTGCCCCTCACTGCTCCACTCATGCTCTGAGGCCTAAGGTCTGCACCCCTGCCTCTGGCCTGAGGCTGGAGTCTGTGCGGAAACAGACAGGGGTCCTCTGTGTGGAAACAGACAAGGGTCCTCTGTGCAGAAACAGGCAGGAGTCCAGGAATGGACGGAGTCTCCGGGAAACCGCTGAGCTGCCTTGTCACTGTGGATGGACCACACAGGGCATGACCTGACAAGTAATCATGTCATCAGCGTCTTGCATTGTACAGTGCTTTCCCTTTTTATGACCACTCTGCAGTTTACAGGGCACACTCATAGCCTCATCTGATGCACATGGTCAGCCCTGTGTGGCTGTGAGCTCTTTATTTATGCATCCTTGCCTGGCTTTTAATTACATTGTCCAGAGCATCTGTATCAGTTAGAAAATACCTCCTATCTCAACCTCACACACACCCTTAACTGAGTTGCAATTGAAATCACTGACCGATGTGCAAACCAGAATTCAACAGTGTTGTGGCGGTAGATGGCGACTGGTCTAGAGTCACACACCATGTGGCTGACTTAGGAGCCTTCTCAGGTCTTTGGGCTCCTATTTCATTGATATCAAGAGAGAAATAGTAGAAAACATTCAATAAAATTTCCCCAGAGTGAATATGATGTTTTATTTCAAGGTGGTCTGGTTTTTCGGATCTTTTTTGTACTTTCCAGATATGCTATCTGACTGTCTTTCTCATTTACACATATACATCAATTAATCAATGAAGAGATAACAATGGAACATGGCATACACAGCCAATCCAATCTTAAGGCTCAGGCCTCTCTAGGAAGCAGCAGGGGTGGCAGAAGCGGCTGGAACAAAGACTGGATAACAGGTACAGTTCCCAAGGAGCTCACGCCCAGCTGTGGACACACCTTGCCCCCACATTCCCAGCAGCTGCACTGGGATAGCAGGAGCAGGTGTGGGCAGGGTTTCAGGTTTTGGGGAAGATGAGAAATCATTGAGGGCTGGGATGATCAGGAAAGGTTTTAGGGCAGATTTGGATTTGATGGGCAGAAAAAGGAGGAAGGAGGGCAAAAAGTATTTTAGGGCTATATTTAGTGTATCCATGGAATGATCTGGGACAACCTGGACCACATTTGAGCAGAGTGCAAAGATCCTGTCAGCAAAGTCACTAGGAATGTGCTAAACAATGTTAGTTCTTGCTGATAAGGGGTTCTAGATAATTATTTCATTTAGGAAAAGAACGCTAAAAAGGAACAGAAATAGACCAGACCAATTTACAAAATACCTTAAAACAGCTTGAAAAATATTACATATATGTTTTATAAAGTTATCTAAAAATCTTATCAAAAATTTTTTAGCCACACCTTTAGCACTAAATTGGCTTGTGGGATCCATCTCCCTTGGGCGGAATGGCTCTTGACCCAGAAAACACTTTGTTCTTGGCCAAAGGGGCTGATTAGTCTGGACAGGTGCTGCTCACCTACACAGAGATGCCTGATCCCCTTCCATCTCTGAGTCTCAGTTTCCTCATTTATAAAAGTAGGAATAGTAGGGCAGGTGCGCTGGCTCACGCCTGTAATCCCAGCACTTTGGGAGGCCGAGGCAGACAGTTCACAAGGTCAGGAGACTGAGACCACCCTGGCTAACACGGTGAAACCCCGTCTCTATTAAAAATAAAAAAAAAAAAAATTATCTGGGCGAGGTGGCGGGTGCCTATAGTCCCAGCTACTCGGGAGGCTGAGGCAGGAGAATGGCGTCAACCCAGAAGGCGGTGGAGCTTGCAGTGAGCCGAGATCGTGCCACTGCACTCCAGCCTGGGCAACAGAGTGAGACTCCGTCTCAAGAAAAAAAAAAAGTAGGAATGGTAAGACTGACTGTGTTTTCCTTTCCCCGCTCCCTACACTCTTGTTTCCTTCCATTCTTTCTTTCCTTTCTTAACACAATTCACCATGGGAAAATCACTTAATTAATTAATTCATTCACAGACATCTAGAAGCCCAGCACTGTGCTTAACACTACAGAGATTTCAAAAAAATGTACAAGGTCAATCCTTGCCCCCATGCTTATAGTCTTCCTGGGAAAATAGGGCTGAAACACAAGACAATCAGATGTCAGTTAATTGGAGGCCAGGAAATCCACTGACAGTCACGGCCTTGGGCATTCAGAGCTGGGAGGGCACAGCAGGGCTGGAGCAGGGCCCAGGCTCCAGAGGGAAGGCCTGACCAGGACTAGGCCCTTAGAGGCAGTGGGGTGGGCCTGTGGTTTGGAGCTGGAAGCCCTGGGCTTTAGCCTCACTGAGAAGCCTGTGTGGACCTTGGTTAAGCCATTTTCCACTTTGACCATTGGCTGCTTCTGCAGGAGTCAGCACCTTTCTATCCACAACTGTGTTGCACAGTGTGTGTGGGATCTTAAAGAAGATAGCATGCCTTGAACAGTTGTACAGATGCTTGCTCAGCTGTGATCTGGGACAGGCTCCTGCAACAGTCCAAGCCTCCTCTATTTAACGGGCTATTGGTGATGCCAATCTCACGAGGTTGTGTGAGAACTGAATAAGAGAATGCATAGAGACAGATTAGCGTGGGAGCTGGTGGGTACTAAATGCTCAGTGAATGATAGTTGCTACCATCAGCCGGGTTATTGATAGGGCTGTGTGAAAAGAGCTCCAATTCAGGCAGCCAGAAGGAAGAGCTTCTCCATTTCTTAACCAGGACTGGGGAAGACACACCCTCCTAGATATCATCATGGGCAGGTGTCCAATTAACTGACCTCTAGGCATTGTGGCTGGAAGTTAGGCTCTATAACCTGGGCAGACTTCCTGGCAAGGGAAAGAGTAGGGAAGTGTCCATCAGGGCTCTGCAGTATCTAAGGTGATGAGCTACCCCATTTTGCCCAGGACTGAGGATTCCCTGGCATATGGAACTTTCAGAACTAAAGCCAGAAAATGCCTGAGGAAACCAAGAAAATTGGTCACCCTAGTCATATTTTCTGGGCCAATTCAAGAGCGTTCTGTGTCTCCCTGGCCGCAAGACCCCTGCCTTCCTGCAACAACCAAGTTTACTCTTCCATCTCCTGGGAGCACCCGGAGACCTCCTCTACTCCCTCGGGCCCATAAAAGAAGTCAAAGCCGGAGAAAGTCAAGACGGTGGCTGAACTCCCACGCCTGCTTAATGCGGAGGCTGAGGTCTGGGCTCAGATGACAGGTCCCTTTGAAGAACTGATGGGGACTTGGTCTTGCCAGTGATGTGGGGTGGTGGAGGTGAGTCTTGACATAGCAACGGGGCTCCCATTTTATGAGGCTGGTAAATTTTCACAGGAAACTAAATAACAGGTTAATGAGGGGTTTTAAAAGAAAGTGGTGTTAACTTTAATGGGGAGAAAACACTTTGTAAAGGGCCAACCAACGCCCACTGGGGCAGAGATATAA